AACTGTTATGTGCGATATATCTGCCTTGCTGCTTGCAGAAGATGACGACACTCGCAAAGTCACTCCAAGGCCTGAGTACAATAGAGTCGCCAGCTCAATCAGGGAATAGGCCGTTTAATGGAGGAACTTGGGGTGGAGGCTCGCCAGATGGGTCCTCAAGACGGAACTCTCAGCTTTCAGCTTCTCAACAAGATTCTAGATCTTCTTCTCCCGCGGGGGCCATTGATCGTAGCAACTATCGCATGTCAATGCCAGTCCTTCGATCCGCAGCGTCGGATTCTGGCACTTCTTCACCTCTAGGCCGTTCTGGTAGCCCTGCAAGCGGTCTTCGTTCCGACTCGCCACCAACCTTCGATAATATAATTGGGGAGAATTCGCTCACGCTGAAAAATTTACCATCTCGACTCGGCACTCCGAGTAACACAACGAACAGGGACAGTAGCAGAGATCGAGTTTCAATCGTAGGGTTTGGATCGGGGAGCACTAGTGAAAGATCAAGAAACAAAGGAAAAAGCCGCATTGGCATTGTCGTTGGGTCGATGTATATGTGTGCGGGACGGTGGAATGATGCATTACGCGAGCTGGTCGAAAGTGCCGCCATCGCAAAAGCAAATCTTGATCATCTGTGGCATGCAAAGGCTCTTGATAATATTCTTGTCAGTATGCTCATGCTTGCCTGGACTGGGCTGGACTTTCAAGTTCCGCCAATTTGTTATGTTTCCGCAGAAAAAGCACCGTCCTTAACTACTGTTTTGGAGCCAAGGAGTCCGGCAAGCAACCGTCTAGTTTCGTTACAAAACTTGGCAGTTCTGCTTCCAGAACTATTGGATAGAATTCTAAATCTCTATACCCGTGCCGCGAATAATAATGGGGAGGCTATGCCACAATACCCATTTTCCGAAACTGTCATTCGTTATGCAAAACTTTCTTCCGCTATACATACAGGTGGTGGCCACATAACTGATGAAGTTTTACAATTAATCGTGCTCGGAACTCCTTTTCAAAAAGCTCCGAATCTCGCGACGCCTCGTTTGAACATACAGCCTACTCGTGGAGAAATTCTGAAAACTATCCTAAGAGCATTTCCTGTATATTCATCCTCTGAAAATATTGTAGTCGTGGACCGCATAATAATACTGAGTGGCATAGCTTCAGTTCTTGGATCAATGGGATACCATAGAAAAAAGGCCATGGTAATTCGTGAATTGGTATCAGTATTGGTTCCAGCCCTTGTTCAAGCTCGCCTTAGAGGAGCAGCCGAGATGGGAGTTCATCCAGCAGCAGGATTAGCAGCTCTGAGTGCGAATGGGAACACTAACGGTGCTGGAGCTCTGGAACTTGGTGAAGGTGATATGGAGAATGGCGTAGACTCATTCCTCGCATTATTAGGTCAAACGTATGGAGTGGTAGCTTCTAGAGATATCACGGAAGACATATTTGATGATTCAGATGAAGCTACCATTCTGAGGATACTTGATAATGCTTCTATCCGCTCTTTCGGAAGTCAAGCCCTGAAAATGGAGATTTTAAGATCATGTATCAATCTTTCTGAAGCACTGCCGGACTTTCAAGGCGTCTTAAAGTTTACTGCGGATTTATTAAGAACTGCTGGCAGTGGTGTAGCTCCGGGACCACGGAGTGAGGATGCATCACCCAATATGAGTCGCGAGGAACAGATTCGACTGATGACTAACATTACTCGGACGCTTGGAGCTGCGAGGAATTTAGGAGTCAATGAGCTTACAGCAGAATATTGGGATGAATTTCTGGTTCGGGGAGTTGAGCTTGAACCTCTACCTCAGTCGAGAACCCCGATTCCTCACACTCGTGGAGAACTCCCTGATGGCGTTACCATTGCTACCGCCAGGGAGATAAATCCTTTTATATACAATCCTTTCTTACGCCCACTAAATGCTTCTATTGTTGATCACATCATGGTTGCTGGTGAGAGAGCTGTCTTTAAGGTTACTTTGCAGAATCCGTATGAGTTCGACGTGGAAATAGAAAGTATCAAGCTCGATTCTGATGGTGCGGGCTTTGAATCTGCCGCGCAGAAGACAGTTATTGGCCCTTATCGAACACAGATTCTCACTATACTAGGGACACCCAAAGACCCGGGGTCCTTGAAAATTACTGGTTGCATTGTTAAAGTAAGGGGATGCCGAGAACGGCGGTTCCCTATATTTCCGGATTCATGGTCACCACAAGGTGAAATTAAAATCAAGTCTATTGGAGTAGCAAAGATATTCGGTCAGAAGACTCGTCCTACAAGCTTTGGCTCAACGTCATCAAATGCAGTACCTTGGGGTGTCATACCTCCTCTACCAACCACTGTAGGCTTGAATGTCATAGACAAACAACCTATAGTTGCAATAAAATCTACCAATCTTTCACAATCTGCGTTGATGGTATTAGAAGGAGAACGCCAAAGTTTCTCTATCACACTAGAGAACCTTTCAAACGAGACACCCGTAGACTTACTTCTTTTCTCCTTTAAGGATTCAACTCAGGCGCCGCTGCAAACAGCCATGAGTAATCGGGAAGCATCACCAGCAGAGCTGTACGAATACGAATTAATTTTGGCACGGAAACAAGCACTTCGATACATACCAAAGCCTGATGAGAAGCCTTATATTGAACCTGGTGGAACAGCTACTTTTGAGATGGAAATATTGGGAAAGCCTGGTCTTACAAGTGCTACTATTCTGGTTGACTATGCTCATCTAGGCGTTCCTCAATTAGAGGTAGAAAATGGGTTTCATACTCGTCAAGTAAGTGTACCGCTTACAATCACTGTAAATGCCAGCATAGAGCTCGCTCGAATGGATGTTATGCCATTTACCGGAAGCTTGCCTGTATCTTTGTGGTCCAAAATCGATGGCACTGTCGCAACGAAAGATTTCACACCCCAAGATCATTGTTTACTAATTCTTGATCTTCGAAATGCGTGGCCGAGCAGTATCCATGTCTCGATAGATATTGAGAAAGGAGGTAAAATCGAAGAGGAAGTATTCCCAGGAAATACTTCTCGCATAATGTTCCCTATTCCTAGGATATATCTAGAAAACCCAACAGCCTCCATCCCAGCTCTTGATCCCTTACGACAACGACAATTTGTTGTAAGTGCAGGCCGAATATCGGCAGATTCAGAACGAGCTACTCGAGAATCGTTCTGGTACCGTGAAGAAATCCTGAAAATTCTTCAAGGAACCTGGGAGACACGCTCTGGTGTTCATCGTAAAGGCAATATAGAATTACGCGGTCTCCGTTTAAGTCAACGTGTCATCGACGTTATCAGAATTGAGGATGTTTCAATTGATATCTCCGTCAATGATAAACCAGGTCCTAAATACGACATCCACACCGATACATTTTCTTCAATCACAGTTCGCATTAGCAATCGATCTTCCAAACCTATTCATCCTCTTCTTCGTCTCCAGCCATCCATTCGTAACCATTCACTCACTCAAACTCTCGATCTATCCAAGAAATTCGTTTGGAATGGTGTGCTGCAACAAACCCTCCCACAAATTCCTGGAAATGAACAAATCGAAGTTCATCTCGGTATGACACCACTTTGTAGAGGAGAATTCGAACTTAGTGCCTCGATTGAAGAAGTGAGATTGGTTGAGCCGGTGAAAGAGGAATTGTCTATTAAAGAGGGTGCGAGGGTTAGAGCTGATACGAAAAATTTGATGGATACCATGTTAGGGGCGAAGGAGAGAAGGATTTGGCATTCTAGAGAACCTTGCTTGTTGGTTGTGACGGATGAGGAGGATGATAGTGATGAGGGTGAGGATGAGGATGGAGACGAAGATGGAGATGAACATGAAGATGGAGTTGTGGATAAAGCGGAAGAAGATATAACAGATGACTAGATATGATATGATATGATATGATTAGAAATGAATGGTTCGGAATATATGATGTAATTATGATGTATGGTGTATGGTTTTTAATGTATGTATTGTAAGTTCATTATCATCTTAAGATTGTATCAATCAATGAATGTGTAGATATTGATTTATTGTATGAAGTGCTGTATTCGAGTATTAAATGTTGTATTGTGAATTTTATATTGAGGATGGGAATGAGAGTGGATGGATGAATAAATAGATGAATAAACTTATAAGATTAGTTTATAATATATTTTATTTTATTCCACTTTTCATTTATTTTCAAATTTTAGTTTTTTTATTAAAATATTTAAGTATTTATTTATTTAGTTTATTAAAATATCAAAAAGGAAAAAAAGTTTTAATTATTATAATTTCTATTTCTATTTTTATTTTTAATTACTTATAAAACAACTATATACCACTACACTACAAATAATTATAAACATAAAGTACCTATCTAATACTCTAACGCAGACCTTCTACAAAGTCTCTATACCCATAATCTTCTAATCACAGACAACATTCTAAATAGATTCATGCAGTGTAACGCTCCCCTGACTTCTAAGACCTCCCCTTGTCGGTTCTTCCGGTTCTTTAAAATTTCTCTCTACCAACTTCTTTATTTTCTTCATCATATTCTGATATTTTTCCGCCGGTACATAATCAACCGGAGGAACGAAATCAGCAAAACCATATCGAAAATCGAGTCTCCTCACATTCTTCAACTGTTTGAATGGTTTGAACATATTGGCATCCATGAATAATTCTGTAGCTCGAATATTAGCGTCGAGATCTGCTTTGTCTTGTTTAAGATCTAGTGCCTCGACTGCTTCTTCATTGTCTTCGTCAATTGATTCGTCATCTAGTCTGCTGTCGGCTGCAATTTCGACGAGTAGGTTGACGGTGAGTTTATTGATGACTTGAGATTTGGATATAAGCTTGACAAAGTCTTTGACGAAGGTCAGGGTTCCTAAATAGCTGCGGAATTTTTTCTCATTTTCAGAATCTAGTTTAGAGTTGTCGATATCGAAAAAGAATTGAATGCCCTCGGTATGTTCATCTTCCAATGCACAATCGAAGAGAACCTTTTGAAATTTGGCGAATATATGAGGCTCCATCCAACCGCCCAAGTCTTCTTGATCGTATTGTATGGTACCACCGGGTAATCTTTTCGCCACAGCCGTGAGGGGATTGTGTCTCCATGGAGTAAATCCATATATGCTTCCCCACCTTAGACTTTTATTTGATAGAAAGAATAGATCGTTAGAGTTGACGACAACTGTGCCTTCGGTGAACAATAGTGAAGAGGCTTCTTCATGAATCTGTTTGTTAACACGAAAAATTTCAGGGTACATGCGATATTCATCGAAGTCGGTGTGCGCAGAGTCCGTTTCCCACTTTTCTTGTCCATTTGCTATTCTCCGAGCTATTCCTCCATCTTCTAAATCCAAAATTTCCATAGGGTCGTCTGGAGGAGTTGCCTGGTTGGCTTCAATAAGAATCGACTCTGCTTCGGGATTTGAAGGAAACTCTGGATCAATATCGATAGATCCATCATCTTCATCTGGTTCCACCATTGACCACAATAAAGATCCCAGTCCGTCTATACCACCAGGTACATCACTTTCTATCTCCATATCTGAATTATCGCCATCGAATGAAATTGTATCTTCGTCGGTCCAATCGTCTGATGAGCTGTCGTCATCTTGATGCCAATCACCTTTCGGTTGTCCTGGTTCGATGCTAATAAAACCTGAAGGAAGAAGTAGGTATCGATATATCTCTAATCGAATTTCTATATTTGTGTTAGCAGATGCATGAAGAATTGATGGGCTGAAATATTACCTGGCGCTATAGATAGAAGTTTAGATGGAATATCTGGTGCGGGAAAGGCTGCAGGATGGTCTGCATAAGGATGAGGTTTTGGCAGCAGAGCATTTTCCTTTTCGCTAGCACTTTCTTTTTTGAACTCTTTAATAAGATTATCGAATTCATCTAATTGAGCTCTAGAAGCGTCGCCACTTGCCACAACCCTCATTAAATCTTTTACATGACTATCTGTTTTCGCTCTCTCCTCCATAAGTTGAGCAGCATCGGGGCCGTAAAGGGACATTTCCGCGTATAAAAGGAGTGTTGTTGTACAAACTTTGGATCATGAAGATGGAAATGATTCGAGATTATTTTATGACCTCAATAAAATTCAAAATTCTAGACTGTGGTGGGTTATCTAAAAACTAACCGAATCTGGTAAAGCGTTAATTGGGCTATTTTAGATAACAAGCTAGAAATGATGGGGAAAGGGATGAGAAGACATATGGAAACCATGACACGGTATACAGACACTGTATACATCCCAATATGCCACCACGCCGGTACTCTTGTAATGAATTTCTTGTAGGATTTGCTGGTTAATGGAATTGAGATTTCCAGCCTTTCCAGCCTTTCCACCCTTTCCAGCATATCAGCTCACCAAGATACCGGCACCCAGACCATAGAGCTACAAACATTGATAGGGAATGAAAACTCTCATCCTCATCCCCTCCATCGAGTTCATAGACCCAAGTCTGAGCTCTTATATACTGTGATTCTGTATATATTCTTGTCATGTCTAACCTTTATAACACAACCTATATTTATCGGACCATAGAGGGGAGATGAAAAAAGGTATATTCACATGAATATCCTATCATCTATTTCGTCCTGATCCTTTTATTGCCTCTTAGCCTTCCAGAGTTTCCATTGAAATCAACCATGACTCTCTCTACTTGGAGAATAGGTGAATGCGGGATCTTAAACGTGGACCCTTGATTTCGAGGATGACTTTTGCAGAATGGTGTTGATCTACCAAGAAGACAAATCTGGTGCATGTCAGATATGGTAAATGTTAGAGATATGCCTCTGAATGTGACATACAAGCATAAGAAAAAGTATAGAGTAAAACCACAAACAGAACATAAACCATAAATCATCCACGCCATATCTCAAAAAACCCCATCTATTAACACCATCAACATAAAAAAAAAACCTCAAGTCAAACACCCCAATCCATTCAATCATCCACCGTCTCTATCTCAACCTCCATCCAACCCTCCCCCTCCTCCACCTCATCATCCTCCGACCAACCCCCCCCCTCCACAACCGCAAACTCCTCCCCGGAATCCGCATGCACAATCCTCACCCTCGGACAATCCCAAAGCGGCGCCCTCCTCCTCATCTCCCTAATCTCCCTCACCAATCCCCTGAAATAATGTCCCCTCAATTGCCACGTCCCAGCATCCTGACCCAAACCCACCAATTCCACCTCCTTTAACCCCCTCATCTCCTCCAACCTCTTCAAATTATAATGTCCAAAATACGCCGTATCTTCGATTTGTAAATGTAATTTTTGGATTCCATTTAGTTCTTTCCCGGATAGGTATGCTATTACTCCATCGGCGAGACTAATGGTGTCTCTGTCAAAGTTTACGTAGATGTAACTTGGAGAGTGCTCGGTGCGGAAATGTGCATGATAGTGTGTCAGTGCTTCGGCGCGTGTTTCGTGATTAGTGTGTAGGAGGGATGGAATAGGTGTCGTTGTAGTGTAGGTTTCTAAGTACCGTTTTCGACCTATTTTCATAACGGGTCTTTTGCCGTCGATTTTGACGCTGCGCGGTTCGTTGAGGAGGATGTTGTATATCTTGAGGCGGAGTTCATAGGGGAGAGAAGGGAAGTGGTGGAATTGAGTGAGGGGAGCTGGTGTTGCCATGTTGAATTGGATTTTGGGAATTCGTATTTAGTGTCATATAAGTTGTAGGTAAATTTCCTCAAGGTTTATATTGTTGTTTTTTAACATATAAATGTTTCTTATAGTAATAAGTTGGAGTATATCTAAGAGGCCGTTAATCCTCCCACGAGTGGACGTTGGCTTTTGGTCGTTGCCTGTACATAGCACGTTCGGCAAAATATCATGCATGCCATGCTACACCACTTTGGAAGTGAGCTTGAGCTAGGTAAAGTAAATAAATAGCTCCTTGTTTTAATTAATCAATCGTCATGAATATTGATCATTTTAACATATGCAAACATTCGAATGCGAGGTTCATTTGTTAGTAGCAGATGTACCTTCCATGAAAACCTACATTCACAATTTAGGCGGTATTGATAGTGAGAGAATACCGGGCTTTTACCGCTATAGTTTTGGACTTCGGCCTGTCATAGCTCTAACCAACACACCAATATATAGCATTCCCTCACTCTAGGATTCCATCACCTTGTTTTATTTTCTTCTTTTTTTAATTCATAAAATACATACCATCCTTTCTCTTCATATCAAGCACAGCTCAAAGGTGATGTTTTTGAAGTAACCATAACATCCATAGCCGAATGCTTGCTCAGGGCCAAAGATTTTCTGGCATCTGACAGTCACAAAGGTCTTGAACCCCGGGTCACGGCATGCTGCATACGGAGATTTCATCAAGAGCGCAGGTTTCACAGGGAATTCATTGTAGGGCTGTTTTCCAGTATTAGTCGCATGTGCTTGCCGGGTATGCATCTCATCCCGCGTGGGTTGTAAACTTAGAACCAGTTATAGGGTGGAAAGCGAGTGGGAAATGTCAAAGAATATTGAAGTTACAAGGTAATCTTACATTTGTCTGAGTATTTTTGCTAAGTCGCAATATGTCCTTGAAGTCCATCATTCGGTTAGTCATACAGTTTCAACATTCACGAATGATGTGTGGTAACGGAAAAGGCTTCATAATCCAATTTATTTCTTATATTTATCCTAATATCTATCTCGACCTGCAAGCCTGGTGAACACAAAGTTGTATGGTCACCATACCAAGGTTTTTATATCCCCAAAGGTCAGTATTTCGAAATAGAAGGCCTTTCGAATTTCGGTCGTGACCTCCTCATGCAGTCTCTGGTTTAAAGTAAGTGATGATGTAAATGAATGTAGATTCAGCCCGAATCTGTCACTTTGCATCACAACTTAGAATTCGCACGTCGATGGTCAATCCCTTAGCTATAATTCGAGCGTTGAGACGGCAGTATCCGAAGCTATTGTGTTCGAATTTCAAAGGTGTTTATTCAACGCGTGCGTCGAATATCGACCAGCCGAAAAGCCTGATCAAAAGGTAAATGGCAAGATCATGTCCAACATATAGTTAGGCCAGGATTAAAGCAATGAGTGTCTTGCCTAGTATTGCTCTTGGTGCAACTTTGAATATGCCAATCGAGTTTCCAGCAGTGTCTTTGTGATGAAGCTAACACGGCAATGATGATGACACAGCAACGAGGATGACCGATCTCTGTCCAGATAATTGAGAAAGAACCCTAGATGACCGAGCAGTAGTGAGTCCGCCAATATAACCGAGTTATTCTTGGTTTCCTTAGCCACGTAATAAACATCAATGCTGGAAGTCAAAACCCGGTCGTCTTAGTGCATCTTCCTTGCAGACAGACCATAAAACGAGTGAGCAATAGAGATATTTGGCGGCGATTCAATAAAAGCCATGTGGTTCTCTTGAAGAAAAAATGATGTCTTCGACGGGTTATGATGGGGTGTGTAAGTTGCGTTTTGTTGGCAATTCTTAGACGCAGTCTCGTTTCTTCCATTGCCGCTGCTGTATATCCTTCAGCTGCTCCAGAATTGTTCACCATTATCAACCTTCTCTAATCGCTACTCCACTCCATGATGGCCTTGAACGAAACGATGATACCCTTGTATCTGGATCTTCAGGTAAAGCCGAATTCGCCATAGTGTTGATACCACCAACATTGTGAATGCCATAATACCGGCAGCAGCTCTACCATGCCTGAAATTGGTATTTGCAGATAGAGGCTTGTGTCTCTCCACTTTCCTTTAGAAAGGACACTCTTAACTGACCCATTTTGCCTGGGTCCTCGCGAAAGTGCCGTCCCGTGAAACTCGAGCTCGACATAGCCTATGGACAATGGACAATGACTTAATGCCGGCACGTTTAATCATCTAGTTAAAGAGATGAGCCTGCGCCTAGTCATCAGGTGTGTGATGGACACAGCCTAACCAAATGGTCTGCGCCTGTTGCTGGAACGACAGCTAGAATAGTGTTGTTGTTAACTTCAGCGTCTGCAGCCCGTTTAAGAATGGCAATGCCAGGTTTGGGCCAAGGTGTGCGAGGCCGCTGACTGAAGGAATATCCACTTGAGAAGTAGGCGCAAAACTAGCTCGATCGAAGAAGGGCTTTTGGTGGATATCGATGGTAACTTGGAAATTATTGCGCATTGCTTAAAACTGTTTAATGCAATCAAGTAGTCAAGTATGAAATATCTGGCACCTTCTCCTTCGAGGCCCAAGCTTGTTTCCAGACTTTCTGCATCCATGCCACATGCGACGATGGCCAAAATTTGAGAATGAGCTGGGGCTTGAAGACTACGCATTTTATAAATACTCTCTCCAACTCTGGTAAATGCTGGAAGATATTCGGCTGGTCATGCGACTTAAAATTAAAGATGGGCAAATAACCAGGTTTCGACGCCACAAGCGTAATTTCCTTTACTGCGCTCAAGCGACCTGGGTTCTTCTCCTCAAATCTTCTCATACTTTCTATATAACTCTCACGATCCCAAAGGTAAATGTTTAACTGAAAGTGGTCGTAATTTGCGCGGAAACTGATTTCGTTGAAAACACCCGGAGCGTGGTTGGGTGCCTTGTCAACACCCCAAAACCGAAGAGTTTCCTGCCGTGCTTCATGATTGATATAGAAGGTTACAGACGGCTTTAAAAGTTCGATTTGTGATGAGTCACGAGTTTGGTAGTGTTGATTTGAAGTAGATATCGTCCGGGGATGTGGGAACATGTGATGGAAGATTTCGAGGCGAATCTCAGTGGGAAGGCGGATAAAATAATGAAACATAGTGGTAATTGGCTGGGCTCTGGCTTTTCTCTTTTGGTTTTTGATGCTCTTCGCTCCCTGGCACACATCTGGATAGAGAGGAAAGGATTGTTCAATCCCTAGCAATTTTGATTTTGATCTCGTAATGCGAGTATTATAGGAAATAGAGCGGAGGGCTCTTCTTTTACTCCCACTCTCAAATAGAAACATGTCTCTATTGTCAATCTGAGGTGGACGCATGATGGCGTGATGATTTTCAGGTTGGTCTTCAACTATGTTAGCGCTGATGCGGCCGCCATCTTGAATGGGTGATACGCACTTGACATGTTTGAGTTTAATGTAATCTCATCTTGTGGTGGTTTGGGCTTGTGCTCGCTCTCCATGATTTAGAAGTAATGACGATGCAATATTGATCTGCAAGTTTGTTAACCCTGATGCTTACATCCCCCAGAGGAGAATCGGGGTGTCCAAAACTTCGGACTGCAATCAGCAATAAAGAGCTTTGGGATTCTTGAAATCAGTTGGGACATTCAAATCATCCGACACATCCCGAATCAATTGGAGTATTGAGTTTAATTGAACACCCAAAAATTAAAAGCTGATAATTACTCTGCTGGTCCAGATTATCGAGTCCTTGTGGGAAATACATACTTGATATAATGAGGTTTTATGATGGATATCGGCCAGTTTCTCAAGGTGGGAAGATGTAATGTGCAGGAAATTGGAAGAGATTGTTTGGGTAAAGAATTGAAAACCAGCGAGACTTTCAAATGATGTCTTGCCTATGTTAGCTTCTATGGTTCGAAGCTACCGACACCCGAAGGTTTTAGTCTGAGGACTGTCCTCATCATGATTGGTATAAAAGAGAAAGAATTACTTACAAACAAGAAAACACGCCGTTATTGTGCTGACAAATATCGATTTGTCGATTGATCCAATTGATTGATTTCCCATGACTGGGAAACGGCGCTAACACCTCGTCTCCCTCAAAACACCGAACCAAGTTCATCACTAGGTAACACTCGGAGTGTTCACTGGCCAACATTTTTAGACTGTCCAATTGTAGATATGATATTCGGCATACTTCTTGATCTTGAGCTTTGCAAGCTTGCTTTGCTCAGCGACTATTAAGCATAAGTGTAGTCGGGTTCGTACTCCTCGACAATAAAATTACATTGATCTTTGGCAGTCGTAACTTTTTCAATAGCAATATGGGCTTCCATATCCTCAGCTTCACGTTTTCGATGTCTCCCTGATTATTTGCTGGGGCTTTTTTGGCAGCAAATGGTGCTTTGGTGCGACACGTTGAATGGTACTATATTGTTGGTGTGAAGAGGGTTGTCTGATTATTGGAGCTACGATTCCTGATTATTTGGACCCAGAACCATCCTACTTTCCATATTGAGCCTAAAATCTTCTCAAAATATCTTCAATTATTCTTTGCGGCTTTAGCTTACTTAGCAAAAACCTGTGCCCCGCATGGGGAGATGTCCTTCCTTCTAGTTGCGCTGATCTTCAGAACCACTTACCTGTTTCGCAGCAATCTAGCTCCGGTGTGGCAAGACACATATTCCAACTTCTTGTGCACATCAGAGGAAAGGTCTCCATGTTGAATCAGATATTTCTTGTACAGCACCTCGTCTTAGGTTAATGCGGTGGCTCAGGTTGTTCTGTTGCGATGATGAAAAGGAGTCATGATTGTTTCCTTACCTGAAGTTTTCAAGGTTTGAGCCTTTATCTCCATTCCCGACCCAGTCAGTTACAACTGCCGGCAGCTCTCTCTTCTTCGTCCTTTTAAACTGGGCTGATAAAACCTTCTATTTGTCCTTAATCCTTCACTTTTCATTTGTTCACTAGAAACATTTGTTATTGCGGGTAGCACCACGATCAAAATACCAGCCAAATATCATCAAGTTATTAGTGATGAAAGGTTTAATGATGTCTGTACTTGTCGACGATTTACGGACAGCTTTGATTCATTTTTGTTTGTTTCCTAGTGTCACAACAAGAACATAAATCAAGGCAATACAGCAGTCCAAGGTATGGCCTACTTAGCTGTTGTTCTCTGCTCCACAGTATTCCCTTTACCCAAAGCTCGAATGGTCATTTCACTTCAATATGGTGACACAAGTGAGCTTCACCTTCAATTGCTTCACGGTTGTCTCTGGATTTTTGCACGAAATTGTCAAGTTGTGCTTGAAGGGATGAAGATGGAAGATTTTTCAATGCTCTATATAAGATTTCTGCCCATTAGTACACTTTTGGAGGCTGAGCACAGAACAAGCTTGTTGAGATACGCCGGGAAAACGTTTGAATAAACTTCAGATATTTGTCTTGATCAAAACATGTTTGGTAATTATCTATCCTGCTTCAGAATGCAAAAACAATGCGGACAAACGAGCTCTACTCAAGGCAAACGCGAAAGTACATCCCTGATATGAGCAAAAGTGCCTAGCATACAATCATGGAATTTGCCAAACTTCTAACTAGTACGAGCAAAACACGGATACTTCCTCAATCGGGCAAAGAATATTGGGGAACTGCTGGTGAAAGTATCCGTCACCGCCGGTAAACTTTCAATGGATCTCGTCAAAGGGTTGAAAGCACCGAGAAAGGCTCGTTTGCTCCTGTTTTTTATGCACCCGCTGGATAGTAGTAGCACTTGTAGAAAGGTCTTCCGCTGCAGTTTTTTTGAAAGTGCCTGCTTGGCAGGTCCAACCTCTTTCAAAGCGAACTCTGGTGATGAGCCATCGGTCATGAGGATCAGTTGACACCGTCGTAAATTTGTAAAGCGGGTTGTAAGATCAACGTTATTGTATTAAACTGGTAAGGAAGGAATGCTTCTACGTATGAATGGCGTATCTTTACTCTAGGCGGTGCAGTGCCGCCTCGTTCTCCACGCCACGCATGGCGAAACATAAAAGGTAGTGATTACCAAGCTCGTGTTTTGGCCCAAGGAATGCCCAAAAGCTTGTGGCACTTGAGCAGTGGTCCTTTAGATGAAAATGATCGAAGCGATCGAAAAGTCCCGTATTACTTCTTTGCACGTCTGAAAGCAATTGGGAGCTTCTGCTAACAGTTCCGTCAAGCCAAGGCACAAATCCAACAGAACATATTCCATTCAAACATTTTAATTTCTTCTCCCATCACCAATCGGCGCATCGCGCTCTGTCCTAACAAATCGCATTCTGGTAGACACAAATATACCTACATTCGAAGACTTCCATTGATGGAGTTCACAGCTCGAATCTTCGCTAGAAGCTATCAGGAACAACATGTGGTCGCGGCCCCGGCGTCATTGAAGTCTCATTGCAATTCCACAATTCAGCATGAACTTCTGTGTGAAAACTGACACGAACGCGCCATTCAGTTGACATCTCATCCTCAAAGGTTGATTATTAGCATGCAAGCTGCGTGCTCTGCAACATGTTACTCGATCAATAAATGAAGGAGCTTGAGAACTCTGTCAAACACTTGTCGTCGGAGAAGTGGAAGTATAAAAAATCACCCGTTTTTGTCCACTTCACAAACCTTACTTGATTCAAGAGGATCTTGATACCCATCTATGGCAACCTGCATCCTCCCTTAATTAGAGGCATCATTTGTTGAGTCGCACTCCCGCTCTAGGAAGAGTTTCACTGGCTCTTTTTTACCTATCCGCAAATGAGCCTTCCAATAAGCAAAGGTTCGGACTTCCATCACAATTATAAATCTGTTATGCTCACAAATCTTAGGTTCTTGCATGACGAGTCTCCCAGTCAATCTGTCAGCATCCTAAACTCGTAAATATATCAAACACCGAGACACCGACCACTACGGCTGATAGCTGATTGCCGGCCTGTACCACCTTTCGATCGGAAATTCGGTTGGATCCACACACGGCGGACACCCCCATTTTCAGAGCCTCGCTTGCAAAACAATTTCTTCATCAGGAACTGAAACTCTATCCCCAATTTCATCACAAAACTGAGGCACCTGCATGATGGCTCCATTTGGCCCTGGTAATAAACAAAGCTAGCCGTGCATACCGACATCAGCTCCACACCCGCGTGAAAAGTTTCAAACAACGTTTCTTGGTACCGAGAGCTCGCCCCATATCTTAATCTTGTGCCTGGACAAAGTCAAAGAGCAGACCCATCTTCCAGACTCAATTTGTGTGTGGGGTTGCTAGTATGAGCAGAATGTGCAGGAGACTAAGACTGTTTGTAACGACACATGCAAGAGCTATTCAATTAAGACTTAGCAGCACATGTTTTCGCATATCGAGGCCAAGATGGGGATATCAACATTTTATTTAGGCAAAATTGCAGGTGCAAATAATAGATCATCAGCTCATCTGGCGGAATTAGCCGGGATCGACGTGACCGAGTTGGATAATTTGAGGATTTATTGATGAGGTGAACCAGAGGGACAATAACTCTATCTACCCATTTAAGAAGTGCATTGCGTAAAACGCTTCTCCGTCCACTGTTTCAAGTGGGGAATTGTGAATATGAGACCCCATATCTTGGTCTCTCATGGATACAGCATCACAATCTGGACCCCATTTAACCTTGGCTCTCTAAAACCAACGACGATCGTGTTATCACAATCCTACCGCTGGATGCGACGTGATGATCAGATAGAGGACAGCGACATTATACCGATGTCCTGAGACTTGGCTGGTCCATGAGTAGTCGTCACGATTATACGCAACACGAAGGTAACTGCCGCAAAGGTTGTTCATGATGGTCGGTAGTTGTGTGATGACACAAATCCACGATTGTCTCAGATGATACGGTACTTTTGGGATGCCGAGCCGCTTCTTGCTTTGAGGAATGCGCCCTTGGTGACACTCAGTGATTGTATCAATCCAAAGTCCGACGACAGAGTTCGTCGTGGTTGAGAAATTTCAAAACCCCCCTATCTTCAGCCAGGTAAGCCCCAAATAATGAGAACAATTATGATAAAGGGGCTACAGTAAGGGATATAAAGATCGACGTTCAGTTTCTATCCCATGACAGACGTTTCGATGAACCTGATCGCGAGACCCGTTTGATATAGCGTTTTGCCCTTACCTTCGGGGCAAGATGGAGACAGAGCGGTAGTCTTGTAAACTGAGACATACCAGTCGATTTTATGTCATCCAGATCAACGGAGTTCGTTGACAGCATCTAGGGGTAAACACAGGCAGGCACTTCAGTCTCAGTTTATACCAACCAAGGAGTTAAATGAAGACAGGATCGCCATCATAAGTGATAACCTACCGGTGCCAAAAAAGCAAAAGAAAACTGATCAAATACCGTGCGCTCAATGCACGGCACCTGTCACCTGTCATTAATACACCACCGGCAATGGAAACTAAAAAGCAAAAGAAAGCCAACTTGGGTTTGATTATCTCTTATATAATTTGGTGTTTCTATCTTGTTTTACCAATGGGATGGTCAGATTATCCAAACTTGCCGATGGGTAATGGCTCCCTCCCACGACGTCAGGGCGGAGCTGTCATTACCAAACATACGGTTCCTGCCACTGTCCCGAATCTGATAGTTTTAAAGAGCTCAATCTAGTATTTGGCCTCTGCAAGTTGCACTGACATCTAAATATCTAATCTTGTGTAAAATCCAGCTTCAGAAAATATCCGAAGACAATTATATTACCTGTGAGTCCACATCCATCCGACATTTTACGGTAATGCTGGTATCGCATTCCCGGTGAGAGTTTAAGTACAAATAGTAGGTATGTAGGTAGGTAGGTACATACATTATAAAGATTGGTCACATCTCGATAAACGGCATGAAAATAAGAAAAATTTAGTACACATCTAGGCAGCTCGGAGAACATATCAATATTGCTTGGTATCTAAAATCTTGTAAGAATTATATAATTGAAGAACCCTACCAAAAAGAGCCCAAACCTCGGGTATATTGCATGAATGAATGTTGCGTATAAAAGGCCCGGATACAAGTAGGTTATCTAGGGCTGAAAATTACGTCTTTCCTTACCTCTGCAAACTGTATGTACGTATATACGTCCTAGCATTCGCAGAAATGCTCGGGATTCGGATGGTTTTTGAGTATTTACTGTCTGGTGTGTGTAGGTAGGCAGAAGCTAGCAGGTACATACACATACGACGCATCCAATGCGAAGTGTCAATCATTCATTCATTTTTATGCCTGTACTGCTGAGAATATAAAATATCGAGCTTGATAATCAAGAGCAGGAAAATATAGTAGGAGATATTATTATTGGTTATCTGTTCCTTGAGAAGCTGAAACTTCTTTACTCTGAGGGAGGCGTACATACATGCCTGTGTATGCCTGTGTATGTATGCAACAGGGAACTGGACTGGACTGGTAAGCTATGCACAAAATATGTATGTAGGTGTGTGATCAGTGGGAGACCCTGTTCATGTGTGGCGTTTCTAGCGCATGTGTGTGGGAAGGTTGGAGGGGCAGATTGGGGAAGCGGTGGTGCGTTTTAGTTGTTCTTGGAGATGGATGGATACTCCGCATGTAGGTACTTATCAGATAACTAAGTTACTGCAGTTACAATATCTATATCTATATCTATCAAACAATTATCAAAAGCCCATAGGAGCTCAGAGGGAGCTCAGGGCACCAGTCCAGTTGAAACTAATCGGTTGAACCCCGGCCTTGTAACTTGGCTTAATCGGAGGATTGTAGCTTGATTTTGGCGCGGACTAGTAATCCGGGTGTTACATTATTGCAATAATACTCGTAGTGAAAACGGCCTGGTTTAGCTTGAAGGAACATTAGGATCTCTACTACTGTATTGCATATGGTAGGACTCGTAGGAGTGAGAACATTTTGACTTTTCACGATTCTTAATACGCAATACAGTTTTGCTAGTGATCCTTGCTAGTGGCTTGTTTGTAAGTCAGAGCGTACTTTGTATGCGCAAGATTGAGACTTTTAACAATAGTGTGCATTGATAATCGATAAATATACTTGGAATCGAAAGGTATATCTACCGTATATATTATTGTCCATGCCGATTAAACTTATTTCGTATATTATTGTGCTGAAAAATCTCCAGACAAGAAGATCCTAGTTTTGCGGGGTGAATGGCGAGCGCCGGGACGGGAAGTTTGTCTGATGCAGTCGAATTCAAGGTATCATATATATTATTTGCTGAAAGCCGTACAAATCATGTGACATATTAAGCATGAAGACCGATATTAAAAGATGAGATATCTAGGCAGTTGGGCTGGAGCTTATGTTGATTCGTTTATAAATCGACAACGCCGACAATTAGTTTTGGTTTTCATAATGGTCGAGATCATTTTTAGTTGGTTAAGCGTTCAAATCTAGAAGACGGACAGAGAATTAGATGCTTGAAGGGTTAGTTGGAAGACCTTGAATTGTCTTTTCTGCTTTAGCATGCTTGTTAGTGAGCCCACGGACTCGCATGGCCGTGAATCTACCACTGATCTAGCAGGCAAAGGGCACTGACAGAACCTCATAGGGCAGGAACTAATCAGCAGTCCTGATGTAAACATCGGTCCCATTTCCATATAGTCTTGAAAAACGCTGAATATAAGGTTAATAATCGGGGGCTAAATTAGTCCCAGCGGGGTTTACAACCATGAATGCATTGATGCACAGAAGATGAATAACACTGAGATTTCCAAGTAGTACGACGATAGCGCAAAGTCTAGGTTAGATTGATGTTGACGGAAAACAAAGTGGTGATTTCAGATATTTGGATAGATTTCCTTGGATTACTTTTGTAAGTCGCCTCTTGAGTGCACACGATTCATATGACAGAATGACCATAAATATTTGCATTGATATCATAAAGATTACAAGTGACTGACCGAGAACCCGTAACGGGAATAGGAAGCACATAAATAGATCCCGGCGGCATTCCTGTAGAGTTAGATCAACCATAAAAACTGAGTTACCTTGGCATGACGGGATCGATATACTTCGTGGCGAAGTATACATTACAACTTAGAATCCGATATGGATTATAGAGTTTAATTGCATTGCGACTGATCTTTGTTTGTCCCGCGGTGCCGGAGAACTTCATGCCATACCAATCCTAATTCAAGAAACGCTAATTGAACTAAAATATCTCCACAAATGATCACCTATTAATATATCTATGAGCACGAAAGTAACCAGAGACCAGACCATGCTTGCTTAGCATGCGAGAAACTCGTGGCCATCTATATGAACATCCAAGACGTAAGGAATTGAGCATCGTCAAAGATGTCTGGTTCTTTAGGACATGCTTGGAGCAGGTTACTTTTAGGCAAAAGATCGATGCGAAAGCATCATTGAAGTGGTTGCATAATGTTTCAAGGTGAGGTTTGCGAAGGATTCCTTGTATGACTGCCAGTTTGCTCGTAACTTGTCAGGTGCTTTCCTGTTCGGGATGATAATATACTCAAAGGGTAGCATTGGAGTGTATTGTCTGCGCGATAGTGGATTAAAAATTAGTATGATGATGTTTTTGCAGTAAATCCTGATTCACCTGCTAATTAAAGTTCTTACATGTCAGGTTTTGATACCTAATGATTAACGACTTATTATGGATGTCCTTTTTATATATATATGAGAATACTACTGTGCGAGTTGCAGTCATCCGTTACGGCGGCGCAGCAATGTGGAAGCTGACATCAGATAGAAATGTGGGAGTGCTTCGGATAACATCAAGCCACAATGTTTAACACATCTGATATACTCCGTACGGATTAGATGAGATGATAAGCGTGGAGTCGCTCACAAGTTGTGTATTTCGAGCTTTGTACATGCGGCGTAAGTGACGATTGTCAGCAAATCAGTATACATACGAAGTACCCAAGTCCGTATCATCTTGACATTGTAAGCATACTGCAAAATTGTAAAAACGCGGGTGTAGCGCTACAGAAGTCATAACTGAGAACTTTTAGAACTTGAGAAGGATGGGACATTTTAGCTGCCGACGTTACTTGCCGTAAGTATATCACATATTTGCGGGTGTACCTGTAAATACAGAACGGAGGTACCGCACAAGTATTTCAATCCTGTAGAATCCTCCTTGGAAGCTAGTAGATTGAGATTAGATAGATCGATTGTGTAACGTTCCATCCAAAATCAAACGGATTTCATTCCCAGTAGAGGTTTGGGGTAACAAGACAGAATTCTGATAGGCATCAAAATTCGAAAGCTCTGACCATAATTCGAAGGTTTCTAGAAGACATCTGAGCAAAATCTCTGCGGAAAATATCGTGAATCTATTGGTTGTGGCTTCCTTAGCAGGTTGCCTAGGACTTTTGGTGTAAGGCGTACACGGCATATACGGCATATACGCCATGTATCCTTACAGATTATCAAAATATTCTTGTCCTTCCGAATTCCAAAGTCCACCAAAATAAATGACATCTGTTCCTGATTTTTCTTTTTGTGGCGGCGACATTCCCGTAGCTTCGACGATCGAAAGTGGATATGGGGATGAGACATTCGATATAAACCTCGTGGGAAACACGATGTTTAGAGGAAAGAATAGGAGTAGGGAGGACCCAAAAATTCCAATTTTGTCTCTAATTACTCTTGCTTAGTTACGCATGTAGCAGAAGTCGATCTGTTTCTGATAGGGCAGATCGTTATATTAACTTATTCCATATGTCGTCTTGTGGGGATGAACTCTTTGGAGTATTTCCATATTGGGGACTGTTAATAAGAATCTTAGCACCGGACCACCGGTTTGAACATGTGAAGAATGGGTCCTGATCAATATTATTACATTACAGATGATAGAATGGAATAGTGCAGGATAGTGCGTAATTATCAATCTATTTCCAATTTTCTGGAACATATTCTCAGCTGCTCGGAAGCCAAGGACCTAAAAGCTTCCGTATCAGAATCATTTCTTTCGCTGTTCATGGAAAGGAAGAAATTGACAGATTACTTTTTCTTCCTACTAGAACGAAGTGTTTGATAGGATGGGGGGTTTTCCAACAGTCATTCTCCTGTCAACATAAAACGCGAAGAAAAAGTGCAAGTGTCATATAACCATATTTTTCAGCCATCAAATGCCTGTAAGAAGAAATGATCGGATTTTTTTCACTAGCTGCTTACACGCAAGAGTTCTTGTCTTGTGCTGTGCACCCTGTAATCATTCTGCATGCATGATGGAAAAAGAAGTCTAGCGAGCCTTTTAGCATAACCAGGAACATCCGAGAGAAACAGGCGGATAACGGGCGCGGTCTAGGGATTCTAGTGTCTAGACTATGATGCAAACTTTGATTGGTACGATGCTTTGAATATGCAATTAAGAAGTGCAGAAAGCTGAGATGGTAATAAACATTCTTTTATCGTGATGTGTTACTAGAGACTGGGGTTTGGTGGGGGTAGATGATTGAGGATAGGTCTATGAGGGGGCCGAGTAAGATGGTAATTGCAACCAAGAGATTTATGTCCAGTACTTTGTAGAACATAACTGTACCAGCCCAAAATCTGCAAGTTTAACCTACTGCATACTGCAAGAAGTTGCCTCTATGCAGGTTGTCCTTTTCTGGTAAAATTTCCGGCGTTCGTCTTATAGTATGATAATATAGGACCCTTTGGCCTACGGAGTAGATTAGACACGCAGCCATTGGTATAGCCTAAAGCCGCATTTTCTGTTCTACTTCCCTATGTCTCGGCTTGTGTCAACGAAAGTAGAAATACACCTCGAAAAGTAAAAACTTATCCTGTCAAATTATTGAGGTGTCAAAATGTCTATGACTGGTTTCGGCACATTGAATATGAAGCTCAAAGATTTCTAATCTTCAAATTAATGGCGTGTTCTAATTAAATTCCACCGTCTAGCCCTGGTGACCCCTTCATTTTGGTGTGGGACTTATCGGCTGATAAAAAGTACTAAGCTAACTACAGTAGAATCTCGCTATACCAGACCTAAAAATTCAATGATCAATTCTAATATAGTATGAATTCTAGTATATCAAGAATCAAATCGTAAGATATCAACGAAATAAATAGCTAGTTTCAAGTTTAAGTTCTAAGATTTCAGTATTAGTTATATGAAGTTTTAATAATCAATTATAAAATGGATCTAAATAAAGAATATGTAGTATTTTCTTTATAATTCTTATATTAGAATCATAGATTTATTCTATCTAGTTAAAAGTGACGATATTTCAGAAAGACATCTGGTATACACGGATTTCCAACGTCGTTATCTCCGATGTGACGAGGTCCTACTATGCGGAAACTAGTCAAGTTACCTCCTTCATGTTAATACTTGTCGAGTTAATCTTGAAGCTCTTTTCTAACTTCTTGATTTAATGCAAACAGTCGCATACATTCAATTTCATGTTTTCTCCGGGGCTGAAGAAGCTTGCTCAATATCCGAGGTCGTTTTATATCCAGAGCTATAAGCATATCATATGAAAGTTATTACCTGAAGTTACTGCCATGAATGATTTCTGTACCTCGCACTAACAAAAAGTAACAACCATGCACTTTCCACTATCCAAAAAAATCACCGAATCTTCACCAGCCAGCCCGTCCACTGCACCAATCCCATCATGCCCCTGCTGAAGCCAACTCCGAAATCCTAGAAATCACTTAGTCCTGTAGGTATCCTGGACAGTGTTCATCGTTTACGTACCCATCCATACCCATGCATTCGAGCTGTTGGGGATGGATGGGCAAGTGGAGTTCCGGCTTATGTTCAATTTTTTCTTCTATACACAGTTATACTTACTACCTTAACTGCCTAGACATGGTGCTTCCATCACCTACTACTGTAAGTGGACGGCGCATTTGGCTTTTCTAGTCTCACTGTCGGTCAAGTTTTTCTCTTTACTCATTACCTGCTGTCACTCAAACCTCCATTATATTTCACTAGGCTCCGAATGAAGTCAACTACCCCGTAGTACGCAATTCGCACAAATTTATGATTCGCAAGTTCGCAGATCGCCCCTCCTTTTGATAATTCGCAAGCTCCCAGACGCCTGGTCGAATGACTTAATTTTGCATTGAATAACCTATTGGCCTGGCTACTCAGCTCGTCTCTTCATTACTGCAGCCCATTAACCAAACACGGGATCTAAAACTACATCGGATAGTGCCCATCCTGCCTAGGATCCTCTTCGATTATTCTGACCTAAGCCGTGAACCATCAGCACACTGGAAGTGGAAAGCGTGCTCACAAAACTCCCACAAAACTCCCACTGCGTCACACCTCTGGATTACTATTAACTCCTCCGGTAGTCCTGTCCTTCGCCGGGCTCACGTTCCCATACCCAAATTTAGAGTCCCTCGAGAAAAGATTGACATTCTCACAGCGCATATTCGCAGCATCGCCACCCCAACTCTTTCTTGGTCCTGACTTACAGGATTTGATCGAATTTTCACTCTCACAAGCCAGCATTACATGTGCTGGAAAAGATTGCACGCTGTTCGTAAATCTTAATTCTACTGGATACTTATTAGCAGCGGAAAATATCAAAAATAAAGCGGGCAGGCAAGGTTATATTTAAACAGAGCTTCGAAATAAGACCCTCTGGAACAGTGGTTCATGTCGAAAAGGTTCCTGGGACATCGTACCCCTTCCACTTCCGACACTGGTAGGAATCCCACTAGCTTTAGCCGCAAAGAAGAGGAGGAACAAAAAGACCAGGTTTCAAGGTTGTATGAGCTTGGACTGCTCAGCGACTCGGATAAGAGATCAAGGAGGCGAGAGAAAGACAAGGTCAAGGGTCCATTTGGTGGAGCTTGCGTTGCAGGATCCCGTTCCAAAAAGGGTACGCAGTAGCCATTCTCCAAATTGCCATTACTCCACCCCTCCGCTCATACTAATGCACGAAAATTACCTTCACATTGACTGACTTAATATTTGTTCTTCATCAGACAATCGCAAAATTTTAGAATTCTTTCCTGAGAACTCCAATACGTCGTTTTCCTCGGCCTCATTTCTAGCCAGCAAGGCAAATCGTGATCTCAAACAGCGAGCCGGTGGTGGAATGACAGGAATGTTGGACACGGATAGAACTCGCAACAGGAGGGAGAGGACGTTTGTTGGAAGTGAATGTTCTGTGTGTGAAGAACCATTGGAACACACACTCCGCGGTGAACGAATACTACAGTTTTCATGTGGCCATGTTTCACATGAGGCATGTTTCTACGAGTACATCAAGGAGAGTGAAGCTCAATATTGCCCAACTTGCAATGCGCCATTAGGTCTAGATACGAGTCGAGGAGGCAATGTTCTTGACATTGGTAAGACTTTCAAAAATGGTTCGTTCTCCCCGAATATAAAGCTGATTCCTGCTGTTCCTTCAGAGAAGCTAAGTAGTATTGTGCGATCAGTTTCGGCCAGCGATCAGTCCGCGAGATCCACCCCCACACCCTCGAATTGGGAATCCCAAACTGTACGGCCGCCCAGCCGCGAATCTAATGCTCGAACTACAAGAACAAGAGCGAATAGCCAGGACACTCATCCTAGGGAAAATAGCAGAGATAATGGTAGCAACAGAGATAGCAGGGAAAGTAGAGAGCGCATGGAACGATATCCGCCACCGTCAAGAACTTCACATCAAAGGAATGATAGCGGGAATGCTCCATCATCTGTTGGTTATCCAGAGACCGCAATCAGTGGTCCACCCCGCCGCCATGACTACGACGTGCAAGCAATGGAGTCAAATATTATGAGTCCTCGAGCGAGTGTCACGAGAAATCCCATACCGGCTCCAGTCGTTAGCATCCGTTCTGAGTTTCCAACCCTAAATAGGTCGAGACAACAGCAAACTTTGACTTGTCTTATCACAATTGAAGTACCGGACAATAAGTGGCGACCCGACCCAGATGACATTCGAAGCGCTCCTCCACTACCCAACATCCGCCCCGAAGACACCTATGCCAGGCCTCCCTCTCCTGCCCAAAGTGCACCACGGTTCTATCCTTACGAATCTCCCGAGGTCTTGGACGAAATTACAGAGGGATTGCGAAACCGCGTTGAGAATTGGCACGGTCTTGATTTCAACAGGTATATTCATAATCTTTACATTCAAAATGGAAACACTAATGAGAAGCAGATTCGGAAAATTGCGACTGTACGGAACTATTCGAGTTGGGAAAGACAAACAATCTTGGCAGGAACTGGAATGTTTCTTGTTTGCGGAAATGCTTATTTGCGTGAAAGAAAAGAAAGTTTCATCGTCACAACCTTGGGATGAGTCTAATGGGGTTCGAAAAAGCACTCGATGCACTCTCAAAGGTTCAATATTAATCAAGAAGCATTTGAATGAAGTGACCGAATCTGGATCTGGTAATTCTCTTGGACAAACAGAAAAGATCACCGCAACTAACTTACGGCCTAATGAAGATAATAATATATTGACCTTGAGCCTTTCCGTGGCGGAGCTCCCATCCTTCCATCTCAAATTCGACAACCGCAATCAACTTAAGTTATGGCAACAGGCCTTATTAGATCTGAACGCAATTGAAGGATCTCCAGCACGAAGTCCAGATTACGATTTCTCCGAGCCTGAAGAAGAAGAGTGGAATCGCGATTCCACAGGGCCACAGCGAGTATCGGTTAATTCGTCGGGTTATGGAGGTAGATCTGCCACCACTGTGCCGACAGAGTACACTGTGGCTCCCAGAGGCTTACGACTACCTGCCCCAATCCACGTTCCAGTCGATATTGTTGTTGTAATCCCAATCTCATCTTCAATGCAAGGTGTGAAGATTAGTCTTGTAAGAGATGCGCTTAAATTCATGGTTTCTAATCTTGGAGATCGTGATCGCATGGGTTTGGTAACCTTTGGTTCTAGTGGTGGTGCGGCACCACTTGTAGGAATGACAAGTAAGACTTGGAATGGATGGCAGCAAATCCTGGCTTCTATTAGACCAGTTGGTCAAAAGAGTCATCGAGTAGATGTTGTCGAGGGCGCGAATGTTGCAATGGATCTTCTCATGCAACGAAGGTCAAACAACCCAATCGCTACAATTCTTCTGATAAGCGACTCCTCTACATCTGATGCGGAGAGCGTAGATTTTGTGGTATCGAGAGCTGAGGCAGCAAAGTAAGTTTTTTTTTACCTTTCTAACCTGGAAAAATCACAGCTAACCATGTTCCCCTTAGGATTGCTGTTCACTCCTTCGGACTAGGCATGACCCATAAACCAGACACCATGATAGAATTATCAACGCGAACGAAGGCTTCCTACACATATGTCAAAGACTGGATGATGTTGCGAGAATGTCTTGCAGGTTGTCTCGGATCCCTTCAAACAATGTCACATCAAAATGTGAAATTAAAACTTCGACTTCCTGAAGGATCGCCAGCTAAATTTGTCAAGATTAGCGGAGCTCTACAGATCACTAAACGTGCAACAGGTAAAGACGCCGAGGCTTCTTTGGGAGACCTCAGATTTGGTGATAAGAGGGATATTCTAGTACAGCTAGTTATTGCTCCAGATAATGCTTCTCAGGAACAACTAGCGCAAGACCCATGGGACTCTATAGTTTCTGGTCTTGAGGCACTTGGTGGCCCAATTGATCAAGAAGACCAACGAGTTATGTCAGTAGAGGAGGTTCCTTTGATTCAAGCAGATTTAACCTGGGGCGATATCCTCCGAGATGGAACACTTACTCATTTGCCCCGCCCTTCACTGTTAGCAATAACTATGCTTCCTGCTTCGACAAATCAAAAGAAGCATACTACCTGGAATAGCGCTCCACCCATTCCGCCACATCCAAGCGTCGTCCAACGCCGTATGGAACTTCTCACATCCGATATGCTTACACGAGCTCTCACCTTGGTTTCTCGTGGTCAACATGATCGTGCACAACACCTTTTGAGCGAGACACGTTCTATCTTGAAAGGTCTAGGAAAAGGTGGTCTACCTCCAATTCCACCACCACCTTCGAAATCACCAAATAATCTCTCATCCCGCACTGGTTCTTCGTCCCCCACAAGCCGCACTCCCGAGCGACGCCGCACCCCTTCACCAACATCTGCTACTACGATTAGCTCAAACCACACCCTTGGTCCCATCCCTCGACACCAGTCAAACGACGCGCTCTCGGCAGTTGCTACAGCACCTGGTATTGATCCGAACACTGTTTCAGCTCTCGATGCTGAGTTGGAGGCAAGTTTAGAATGGATCAATCACCCTGCTGTATTTGGCAGGGACAACAGGAAAGCAGTACTTCAGGCTATTGGTGTTATCAGCAGTCAGCGAGGATATACCTTCCGAACGCCAGTCGAAAGCCTATGGGCAGGTCGGGTCAGTGGTATCAAGAGAATGACTGAGAGAAGTCGGGAGTGGAGAGAGGAAGGGGGTGGTGAGGTTGGGATCACAGAAGAGAGCTAACTTCTTTTGCGGTTCACCTTCACAGCCTTTACACCTTTTATCGAGGCGATACTTCACAGTCGATTAATGACTGTATTTTAGCATCTCTCTGCCTCATAGATGGGCTTTTCATTTTCAATTGTACAATATTTTCAGCGCAGGAGCAGCGCATTTGAGCACGGTGGAATCATTTCTGGATAATACACACATACCCCTTTTGTTGTCAATGGATATTGTTTTATTTTTATTTTCATTTACT